ATTTCTCTTGTCTGATTTGGATGCCTTGAATATCTGGGTGGTTGCATATGGCCTGTAGGAGTGGCTCTAGTGAGATTGCGAAGATTAAGGGTGAGAGGGGGCAGCCCTGTCTGGTCCCGTTCTTTATGGTGAAGGTTTGGGCCTCTATGTTGGGTAGGAGAAGTTTCCCTTTGGGGTGACTGTAGATTGCCTCCAGGGCGTTCATGAAACCGGCCGGGAATTTTAGGTGTGTAAGTATTTGGAACTTGTATGGCCAGAGGAGGCGATCGAACGCCTTCTCTGCGTCCAGCGAGAGCATTACCGCCGGGATGTTCCGATTCTAAGTGTACCAAATTGTGTTGAAGGCTCTTCTGGTGTTATCCGATGCCTGTCGTTTTGGAATGAAGCCGACCTGGTTGGGATGTATCAGCTGGGGGAGGCAAGTGTTGAGACGGTTGGCCAGAGCCTTTGTGAGAATTTTCAGATCTGTGTTCAACAGTGATATGGGCCGGTAGTGGCCTGGTTCTAACTGTTCTTTGCCTGGTTTAGGCAGGAGGCAGATGTCGGCGATGAGCATGTCCAGGGGGAGGCGTTGACCCTGGAGTATAGAGTTGAAAGTTTTGCACAGGTGTGGTATGAGTGTTGCCTGGAATGTTTTATAGTAAAGTGCGGTGAAGCCGTCCGGGCCTGGGCTTTTCATTGGTTTCAGCGTTTTGAGGACCTGGGCAAGTTCCTCGCCCTCCATGGGTGCTTCCAGCAGTGCCTGTGCTTGTGTGGATAGGGTGGGCAGGTTGAGCGGCTGCAGGAAGGATGACATTCTTTCTCTTTGGGAATCGTCCCCTGTTGGACGTGGGGGGTCGGCATGGTTGTATAGTTTCGTGTAATATTGTAGGAATTCTTGAGCTATTGTGTCTGGATTTTTCGTGATCTCTCCCCTGCTGGTTCTAATTTTGGAGATTCTTTTGTTGTCCTGCCGTTTTTTGAGGCAGTTTGCCAGGAGGGAGTCCGCTTTATTTCCCTTTTCATAGAAGCGTTGCTTGGTCCACATGAGCTTTTGTGCCACGTCTGCTGATGATAGCTGCCGGAGGTGCTCTCGTATCGCGGTGAGCTCCTTTAGCACTTTGTCGGAGGGGTTTTGTTTGTGCAGTGTTTCAAGCTTAGTTAGGTTGGCCAGTGCTTCCATGAGGTCCTGGAGGCGTCGTTTTTTATTGGCCGTGGCGATTGCTATCAAGTGGCCTCGGATTGTCGCTTTGTGCGCTGCCCATACTGTCGCCGGGGCCATGTCCTCTGTGGCGTTTATCTCGAAATAGGTTTTGAGGTGGTCGGTTATGGTTTGTACTGTTTCTTTGTCCTGGAAAATCCACGGGTTGAGTCGCCATCGCCACTGGCGGGATAATCATGGGATTTGAAGGTCCAGCGTGATCTCCGCATGGTCCGACCACGTTATATTGCCAATTTGCAAGTGAGTGGTCCAGGGCTGGATCGCCTGTGATACCAGAAAGCAATCTATACGCGAATATGACCGATGTGTGTGGGAGTAGAAGGTGAAGTCTTTGTCTGCCGGATGGTGGGCCCTCCAGATGTCCAATAGCATGGTCTCGTTGAGGAAGCTGGCATATAGTTTGTTGTTCCTCGTCGTATCGTTATGCGCTCTTCGGTCTTGTGATAGAATTTATCTTGATTCCAAGGCTCAAGCTTATAGGTGTCATATAATGATATCCTATATTAAAATTGGCTAACTTGGACTCAGGAAATGCTTGATGCTTAAATAACACTTAGGACCATACATGTCTAAGTTCCGGGAGCAGAGAGCCCCCACCTAAGATGTCTCTGCTCTAATCATTTTGTTCTCTCTTACCTTGAAACTTATTTGTTATGTGTACATGACGCTCATCCCTATGAGTATTTGCACGTAAGCACTTACTTTTTAATGTATAAAACCCAGCTGATGAATAAAACGTCAGAGGCTTATTTTGAATACCAACAGGTGTCTGGTGTCTAATTCTCGCTTTTCCAAGTGCACTTGTAACAACAATTTGGGCTTCCTCTGAATATAACAAAGATCAACATTCTGATCCACAACAATTTGGTGAGTCGAGAGACTCGGACACTAGCGTACAGGTGGATGTCCCTCTGACAGTGAAATCAGCTGCAGCAAGGTAAGAAAAACTTTTTTCTACCTTTATCAATTTCGCTCTCAGATCCACGTCCTACTAGTCTGTCTGGGTAAAGAACGACTTAAAAACGTCTGATCTAAAGAACTTGTTTTCTGTGGTATTATGGTTATATTCAAGTGGAGGTTGTGTTATGTCTTGTGAAAGGAATCTTGAGATAGTGGAATATAACTGTGGGTTGTGAGTTATTTTTATTGTTTGCCTTGTCATTTGTTTTATATTTGAGTTAGAATCCTCCAAGGGCAGATCTCCTGATCTGTGTTTAGAAGACAAAACTGGGAAAATTCCACTGCAGCGGTCCTAAGTGTCAAATACACTGTTTTTGTACAGTTTGTCTTGTGTAAGGAAGTAATTAACCCTTACAAGTTTTAAGATGGGTAGCTCTGAAAGCACCCAAGGGGGATTTACAGCTTTCACTATTGTCAAGCATCACAAAGGACAAGGAGCAATTAAGAATGTTAAGAGGTTACTTAAGAAAGCTGGCATGCCCTCAGAGGGCACTCTAGACGACCCACATATATGGAGTGAATTTATGGCAAATTACAGAGGTTGGTTATAAGATAATGACTTAGTAGAAGTTGCACAAAAATGGCATGATACTGCGGTTGAATTAACTAAATGTGGGTGTAGAGAAACCACCAGGAAAGGTGCACCATATTATCAATGTTTTGGACCTCTAGGGTCCCAGAGTAGGCAAGATCCTGAGAAAAATCTTGTAAAGCCACCCTTTTACCAGGATACTGCAGGAACTCCTTTGGTCCCAAAAGTCCAGACTTAAAGGAACCCCTAGTTGCCCCCATAGACACCCCAGTGGGGCCATAAGCTCCACAATTTTCTACTCCCATGATACCCAAAGTTGAAAGCGTATACCATGAGCACAGACAGCCGAGCTCAGGTATCCAATACTGGGAAGAATATAAGCCCTGGACACCCAGTGAACAACTGGCAATAATACAGCAGCTGCCAGATGTTGAAAAGGCCCCCTTAGCTCTAGTCCAGTCTCTATCCACAATTCAAGCTACTTACCAGTGTACTTGGATGGATTTAAAACAGATTGTGGCACTAAAAGCTGGTCCCATTTTGGCTAGAATAATTGCTAAATATACAGATGTGCTTGAAGATAACCTCATAAAAAGCAACATGCAAACAGATGAATTGTTTAGAACCAAGTCTGCATCTGGAGCATGCTATGCCACTGCAATGAGAGAATGGGCTAAGGTAAAGACAGAAGAACTAGCCCATAAATTAGGAGATATACTACAAGGGAAAGATGAATCTGTAGAAACATTCTTCACCAGACTACAAATGGCTTGGGAGGCATTGGGTTACACTGATGTTGTAACCACTTCCACCAGACTGCTTATTAAAGGACCACTCTAGGCACCCAGACCACTTCAGCTTAATGAAGTGGTCTAGGTGCCAGGTCCTTCTAGGGTTAACCCATTTTTTAATAAACATAGCAGTTTCAGAGAAACTGCTATGTTTATCAATGGGTTAAGCCTTCCCCCTAATCCTTTAGTGGCTGTCTCATTGACAGCCACTAGAGGCGCTTGCGTGCTTCTCACTGTGATTTTCACAGTGAGAGCACGCCAGCGTCCATAGGAAAGCATTATGAATGCTTTCCTATGTGACCGGCTGAATGCGCGCGCAGCTCTTGCCGTGCGTGTGCATTCAGCCGACCGGGCGGATCGGAGGAGGAGAGAAGGAGGAGAGCTCTCCGCCCAGCGCTGGAAAAAGGTAAGTTATACCCCCTTTCCCCCTTCCAGAGCCGGGCGGGAGGGGGTCCCTGAGGGTGGGGGCACCCTCAGGGCACTATAGTGCCAGGAAAACGAGTATGTTTTCCTGGCACTATAGTGGTCCTTTAACTGCTTCATGGATGGTATCCACATACCCATAAGGACTAGTCTCCAAAATGCTAGACCTGAGTGGAGAAGTTTATCCTATGGTGATCTGGTGAAGGTGGCTAGGGGAGTGGAAGCTAATCTAAATACTAGAAAGAGGAGCACACCTCTTATGGCTGTAACTGTCCCTAGAGCTGGTGGGGACAGAAGGCAGGTAGACTGCTGGAATTGTGGCAGGAAAGGACACATTAAACGTAACTGCAGGTGTCCTCCTAAAAATAGAAAACCCCAAGATTCTAATGATAACTCCCATGACAGCCAACCACCACCACCACCACCTCCCCCCCCCCCAATAGGAAATTGGCAAACCAGTGTCCCTACATATTATCAATATCCCTGACTCTGCAGGACCCTCACCCATTATCAATGTTACACTGCCTGGGGACTGAATAGTCCCTTTCCTGTTGGACACTGGCGCTGCTAAATCAATGTTACAGGAAAAATATGTATTCCCGTATGAGAAATTTAATGATGTATTATCATGTGTAGGGGTAGATGGTATCGAAAATGACATTCTCCTTACCCACAAGTTGAAATTGAAGCTACACGACTTGTAACAAGGCTACTTGTCAGCCCTCATGCCCCTGCTAATCTACTAGGCAGTGATATACTGTCTGCTCTTAGTGCAAATATCCAGTATAGCCCCACTGGAAAAGTAACATTGTCTGTGCCTTTAGAGGACAAACAAATTATATCTCTTTCAAATGTTCTGGCAACTCTCACTATGCCCAGCCATGTGCCAGAACCTACCATTGACATGTCCTCAGTCCCTGATTCCTTATGGGCTACAGGGAAGACAGATACAGGCAGACTCTCTGTGCCCCCAGTCAAAGTGAATCTCCTGCCCGGAGCCAAACCTCCCTATCAAAAACAATACCCCCTAAGCCCAGCACAGGAAGATGCTATTTCGCAATCTGTGCAAGAGTTTCTGCAGGCAGGGGTAGTTGTCCAGACCACCTCCCCTTGTAACACACCATTGTACCCAATTAAGAAAAAGCAAGAGAAAGGGAAACCTGTGGTCTACCATATGGTACATGATTTGAGGGCAATTAATGCTGTAACTGAACTCATTGCCCCTAATGTTCCCAACCCACACACCTTGTTGGCACAAATACCACATTCCTCTAAGGTATTTACTGTTATTGACTTGGCAAATGCATTTTTCAGTGTCCCCCTGGCTCCCGACAGTCAGTTTTTATTTGCATTTACACATAAACACAAGCAGTACACTTGGACAGTATTGCCACATGGCGCACAAAACTCACCCACTATGTACAGCATGGCTATGGCCCAGATTCTTGAAGAATGGAAAAGGCCAAATAATGTAATTTTATTGCAGTATATCGATGACCTACTCCTATGTTGCGATAATATGGAATCTTGTATTGTAAACACTCTTTCCTTGCTAAAATTCCTAGAAAAAGCAGGCTGTAAAGCGACAAAAATGAAACTGCAAGCATGTGTAGAGAAAGTTATTTTTCTAGGACATTGCATTTCCCAGGGCATAAAACATCTCACGGAAAGTAGAAAAACTGCAGTTCAAAATATTAGACCCCCGCGCAGTTTAGCCCAGGTTCGTACTTTCCTCGGTTTGATTTCTTACAGCCGCCCTTGGCTGCGTTCCGTAGCTATCTACATGCAACCACTGTATGATTGTCTTGCCAACGAAAACAAACCATTTAAATTAACCCATGCAGCAGAAAATGCCTTCAATACACTTAAGGTACTGGTAACGTCAGCTCCGGCACTGGGTCTCCCAGATTACAGAAAGAATTTTAACCTGTTCTGTACTGAGCAATCAGGTTATGCTACATCTGTCCTTACACAGGATCATGGTGATAAACAAAGACCAATAGCATACTACTCCACCAGATTGGACCCTGTTGCCAGGGGTGCCCCCTCATGTGTTAGGGCAGTGGCGGCTGTTACTGCCCTCCTGGACAAAGCCACTGATATTGTTTTAGATAATCCGGTGACCATATACACACCGCATGATATCAACAGCATACTCTCACAAGTTCAACCAAAACACATACATACTGCAAGGCATCTCAGAATGCAATGTGCCTTGCTTATGCCACCTAATGTTACTCTTAAAAGGTGTATGGTGTTAAATCCATCTACATTGCTTCCCCTGGATTTAAAAGAGGGGAGTGGGGATAGTGTAAATGGTACTTGTACTTCTGATATTTTTGTAAATTCACTTTCACCAGATGAGTTAGCTGATGCCCAGGTACCCCATGATTGTGCAGCACTAATGGCACAAGAGACAGCCAGTTTTTTGCATGTATTTGATTCTCCGTTATCTAATGCAGATTCTGAGTTTTTTGTAGATGGTTCCAGATATGCTGATGAGAAGGGTAATTTCCACACTGGATATGCTGTAGTCTCTGCACATGAGGTAATAAAAGCTGAACCACTCACTCCTCACTACTCTGCACAGGAGGCCGAGCTGAAGGCACTCGCTGAAGCGTGTAAAATGGCTTCTGGTAAGACTGCTAATATTTATACAGACTCTCGCTATGCTTTTGGTATAGCCCATGATTTTGGCCCTATATGGCAGGCTCGTGATTTTCTCACCTCAGCAGGAACTCCAATCAAGAATTCTGAAGCCGTGAGTGCACTTATGGACGCTATCCTGCTACCCACTCAAGTAGGCATCATCAAGGTGGCAGCTCACGTGAAGATCACAGATGAAATCTCAAGAGGAAATCACAAAGCAGATGAAGCTGCCAAGCAAGCAGCAATCCAAGTTCATCCCTCTACAGGTAATACCTTCCTACAAGTTGTTCTTACAGATGACGCCGTTGACTACAATATACTGTTGAGCTTACAAAGACAGGCAAGCAAGGAAGAACATGACCTCTGGAGGAAACAAGATGCAGAACCTGATGATGACAGAATGTGGAGGAAAGGTAAAAGACTGTGTTTACCACGAGTGTTGTACCCCATGATGGCCCAGATTGCCCATGGACCTACACATCTATCCAAGATGCACATGAACAACATAGTAAACACCCATTGGGTAGCACACAGATTTACTGTTGTAGCAGCTAAACACACCCAAGCTTGCATGATTAGTGGTAGAAACAATCCAGGACAAGCTGTGAAAACACCAAGTAAGCACACACCAAGGCCACTTTACCCGTTTCAAAGACTGCAGATAGACTATATTCAACTACCTAAGGTAGGAGTGTATGAATATGTGTTGGTGTGCATTGATCTCTTTTCAGGTTGGCCTGAGGCCTACCCAGTGTCGAAAGTCACAACGAAGGTCACAGCAAGTAAGCTTCTGAAGGAACTGGTATGTAGATATGGAGTACCTGAAGTGATTGAAAGTGACAGAGGTAGCAATTTCACTGGGGAAATAATGCAAGAAATTATGAAAGCCTTAGGGATCAGTCAGGCCTTGCACACCCCCTATCACCCCCAGAGTAGTGGGAAAGTAGAAAGGGCAAATGGCACCTTAAAGAACAAGATTGCAAAAGCCATGCAAGACACAGGGAAGCCCTGGACTGAATGCCTTCCCCTACCACTCTTTTCTATGAGATTCACCCCCAATTACAGACATGGCTTATCCCCTTTTGAGATCCTGTTTGGATGTGCCCCAAAGACAGGCCTCTATTTTCCCCAAACCCTCCAGATGCAGCATGGTAGTATGACTGCTTATGTTCAGGCCCTACACCAAAGATTAGGCAGGGTGCATAAACAAGTCTTTGATTCTATTCCAGATCCAGACTCTGATTCTGCAACTCACAAACTGCAACCTGGTGATTGGGTGGTGATAAAGAGGCATGTGAGGAAAGGACTTGAACCACGCTTTGACAGTCCATTCCAAGTGCTCTTGACTACGGCTACTTCAGTGAAACTAGAAGGAAAAGCCACGTGGATACACGCCAGTCACTGTAAACAAGTCACTCTGACTGATCCACCAACATGAAGCTGTTCTTATCCTTTACCATTTTATACTGTGTTCTGATATGCTACTCTGACTTGAGACCAGAAAATAATAATGCATGGCAGGAAAATATATGGTTGCAGATAGCAAAGGCTTTTAATTTAACCTCCTTTTGCCTCAACCCTCTCCTCAGTACTGAAAACGCCATAGAATCTTGTCTTATAGCTGTCCCTATGCCCATCTCACTGTTAAGGAAGTACCTACATACCCATAGACCCCATAAATCTCTACAACTATATTCTTATGCCTTCAACCCACTCATAGGCAAGCCTCCTCTAGCCCTGAAGACAATTTATGTGACAGGCGCTGAACTATGTTGGTCTTTTTCATGTAATTGTTCAAGAGACCCTAATACTGAATCCCTGTTTTGCCCCACATGGTGGAAAAATACCACGAATTGTAGAGCCCTAAGCACCACTATGAATGGTACCAAAACTCACCAAGTTATGAGTTACCACTACAATGTCTATCTTCCTAAAGGATGGACTTTCTCCTGTGGAAATATTACTTATGCTTATGTCCCAGGTAACATTACAGGAGGTCCCTGTGCAATCTCTCTCCTAACCATGACCATGTTTTCCAAATCTGACCTGATCACTAAAACCACCCAGCTACACAAACTGCTGAGAGACAGGAGAGATGTTAAAAACACCCTTAATGCAGATTGTAACCCAGAAATCACTCTTATCTAAAGCCGAATACTCTGCCCTAGCGTACACCTTGGTAGCAGTCCCAGGTTTAGCATTGTATAATACCCGAGTAGTAAATGCTGTAGCCTGTTCCCTTGCAAAAGGTTTAAATGCCACTTCACAGGCCCTAGAAGAGCTACTTATGGACAGCCAGGCAAATAAGAAGGCAATCCTTGAGAATAGAGCAGCCATTGACTACTTACTAATGAAACATGACTTAGGCTGTGAAGCTATTGAAGGTATGTGCTGTTTTAACCTATCTGACCATGGCACTATGATCCATAAACATATAAAAGATTTACATGACTTAGTACAGGATATCAAACAAGATACTGGCTTCTTTGGGGATTGGGATTGGAAATTTGGGCTAGGAACATGGTTAACTTTACTAATTAAGAAGATTTTGTACTTTTTGCTATTTTTGTCATTATGGCTATTTTTCTAACCTTAAGATTTTTTTCATGTCTACTAACCTCTCTATGTAAAAGCAAACCTACTGTTGGTCGTACCTTAACTTACATTCCAGCTCCGACTTCGAAAAGGTTTTATGATGTTACCTCGCCTAACAAATGAAGGAACTCTCCTCTGCTGATTCTGGTGGTCTCTCAGTCCAAGGGAACCGTGGTGAAGCAATAAATGAAAGCCCCACGGGCTTTGGCTAGCAGTCCTGGATATACCTTGGACATTTGGGTGACCCTTGGATAACTGGGCTTATCGATCTGGCCAGTCGTCTGGTTGGCGGGAGGGCTCGGTCTCCATTCCGCGCAATGGGATTAGAATGTGCAAGTCCTAAGGGAGGGTTTTTGGCAAGTCGTGGCAGCGCCTGCCTTTGGCCCGCCTGGTTCGGGGCTGTGTTGGCTGAGCTATGAATGAGGGTTGGGGGTGGGGTGTGGGAGGTGTGTGGGTTCGTGGTGACCATGGCTGCCCTGTTTGGTGAGGTGTTGGGCCCTTAGATGGCTGGGAAGTGGCAAAAAAAAAAAGGGGGGGGAGAGGGCGACCCGCCCGGAGGCGGTGTCCCCTCGCCCATGCTGTGGTGGGTGGCCCAGCCTTGTTTCTTGTGATGCAAGTGTTGTATCTGTCAGCGTTTCTACCTTCAGTGGTAGTGTGGTGAGCTATCGTGTGTGGGGGGGTGTTGTGAGGGACAGCCCGGTGACTGGCATCTTCCTGCATTTTGTGCTTTGGAAGGCGGGGGGGGAGTGAGGGGCGGAACACGGGCAGGGACGAGAAAGTAGCGACCTCCGGCTATGGTCGGCGGCCAACATCCCTTCCCCAACGTTTGGGAGGTGTTAGCGCCTCGTGTGGTAGTGCTGAGCCTGGAGGCCTTTTAGTGGCAACTTTTCAGCGCCTCGTGTGGTAGTGCTGAGCCTGGAGGCCTTTTAGTGGCAACTTTTCAACATAGCTTATGTAACATTGTTATAACATCATCAATACATATCAATTCGTAGCTTTGGTAATATAAACAAAGAACCTGGTTTTCATAGTAATAGACTTTGTAACATACATGAGCAACCATCGCGTCACCTGGTGTGTCGTGTGGTTTCCTGCTTGTGCGGCGTGGTGTTGGGTGGTGCTGAGGTGCCTGGAGCATGGTGTCTGTCAGTGGTCTGCTGCTGTTCGATTTTGTTGCTTTGTGGTTCCCCTTTTCCATCGTCAGCCTTATTGATGTCTAGGCTTAGGTTGCATATCGGCCTACTTGGGTGCT